CAGGAACTGAGCCACAAGCGCTGCTCAACTTGGGGGCAACGCTCTTGTAAAAAGTTTGATCAAAATCGAATAAAAATTGTGACCTCAAGACAAATTTGAACAGACAAGGGCGACAACATAATACGTCCACATCAAAATGTGGGCATATAAAAAGATTAATACAGATTTATGAACAGAAATATATGATATAAATTTATATGTTGTAGCTTAATGCAAGTGGGTTTCAGTTTGTAAAATCAGATTTAAATAAAAATCATAAACGAATAAATGAATTTAATGATGTTAAATACGATAAATACAATTTCATGTTTTGTTACAGGGATTTCCGTTTCTGTTCAATCAAATACGTGACAACATCAACATCCGCCAGACGTGTAATTTATTGTTTAGTTTAACCAGATGGAATGAAAACCAAGCCATGATAGTAAGTACTCAGATCAATCAGTCATGATGAGTCTTTATTTCTGTTATTCACCTGCATGTAGCGGTCTCTTGCAGTTAGGGGAGGGGAGGAAAAACAAGAAACCCTGAAAAAAAACACACCTTGTCATGTACAAGCCCAAATTGAAACGATAACAATTGACTCAATGGTAGACCTTATGATTTACAGTACACGCATTGGGTATGAAATAAACCCATCGACAATCGGAATATTGAGCTGGGTGGCCAAAATTCCCCATCAACTATCACTTAAATATGTCAACAGATATGTTTATGAATGACTTTTATTTTATTTTCAGATTGTGAACATGATCTTCGCAGCTATCAGAAAACTTACACCAGAGGTAAACTAAAATCATTACTTATTTTAATAAAATAAATAGTTTATGAACATGTGATGGGGTTCAAACACATGATATTATTTTATTTTTGTCTTTTATACTATGGATATTACTGTGATGGGACAGAATTCTGTGTCACACGACTGCAATTCTGTCAGTTCAGAATGTTCCAGCCTAACAATTGAGCATTCCCTTTTTAATATTTTCAGGCTTTGAAATCGGAGTTATTCATGTTTTCAGCCATTCCTGTAAAATGGTGTATATTTTTGTTTTCAACGGTTCTTTAAAATTGATTTTATTTGTGTTTTCAGCAATCTCAACCATTCTTCAAGTTATTATCAATGTTAGTCGAGTTTATGGGTGGACCACCAGGCATGCCACAATATACTAGATACATATTACTCAAATTCTGGGATGTAAGTACAAACTACATGCATTGTTGATTTTTAAAAGATAGTCAAAAACTGTTTTACAAGCAAGAACAATGATTTTGATATTACTGAACCAATATCTCATGTCTGAGTTCTAGTAAATTACAATTTTAATGTTGCTGGTCTCGATCCTAATTTTATCATAAATATCTATTTTTTTTATGGCGTCAGCCATGCTAAAATGTACGAAGATTTATTATTTAACATTTGATTTTAAAAAAAACCAAAAAATTATAAACGGTAGATAATCACCCTCTTGGATTCAGTTGGATTAAAAAGAGGCCCATCAAAAGATTTAACACTACATAGCTGGTACTGGTTTGTTTATATCGTCTGCAGATGATGCCGAATGTTGAAAAGTTTCAATTCATTATATTTTCGTAAATCCTGAATGGAATTGAACCATTGACTGATATCCCTTTTAACGATTATAGTTAGCAAGGGATTGGAACTCCCTCAAATGACTCAAATGATGGGGTCATTGAGTCAACTGGGGTGGTTTTGATTCCCGGTTTGAACGTGACAAGGAGGAGGGTCGCCTGTCCAACCTCGTGGGTTTTCTCCGGGTCCTCCAGTTTCCTCCCACTGCTAAAGACCCCTACTCGCAAGCAAATTATTGAAATAAAATTGAGCCATGTGTTAGTCCCGAAATGACCTAGTTTGTGTCAAGTGGACGTTAAACTGTTTTTTCTTCCCTTCTGTTTGTTGAGTAGATCATTTCAAATTGGAAGAATATAAAATAAAAAAATCATGATAAAAATCTAGGAGGCTGGATAAAAACAAAAACTTGCAAGTTTGTTTAATGATTTGCATCAGATGAAATAAATTCTATTTTTGATCTATTGTATTTTATTCTATTTTAGTTAGCTAAATGTTGTCCTCAGCAGTGTTTAGAATGGTTGGCTGGTCAGGTTACACGTAATAAAGTAGTACAGGCATGGTGTCTCAGTCAGATGGATTTATGGGTAGAACAGTATTTAATAGCACACAGTACGTTGCGGGTCAGAAACGGTAAGTTCATTTTGTGATGTACTGTTATATTCGGATCCTTGGATCCAGGGGTGTTAAACAGTTGCATGTGGGTGAAAAGGAAAAAAAAAACATTCTCCATGTTAGAATTCCAATCTCTTATCTTTATTACTCAAAAAGGCAGAAGAACTACAATATAAGGGAGACAACTTGTGTCGACTTAAGTATAAGGTTTCAGACCACAATGATATAGAATATACCACAATATGACAGTATCAATACATTATGGCTCCAAGCTCTCATCTTAGTAATATTTGTCAGCCTTGATGGAATGGCATTGAAATTGATCTACTGGAGAATTTACTTGTCGGTGAATTAACTGTAATGAAATTGGGTATTTCAATGAATTTAATCTTGAAACACATTAAACGCGAGAAAGCCCAAAAGTTGACTAAATGTCAGACCTTATGATCATTAGAACACTGGGCCACAGAGTCTCATAATCAAGTCCATGTTCAACACTGGAATCAAACCCAAGACCTGGTTAGTGAGCCGTCGCCATCCCCAACGGTAATCAAAAGCAACATATTTGTTTTAACCACAAGTTGGCAAATAAAATACATGTTCAACACTGGAATCAAACCCGAGAACTGTTTGGTGAGTCGTCGCCACTGAGCGACCTTGGTTTCCCAACGGTAATCAAAAGCAATAAAAAATTGTTTTTAACCACAAGTTGGCAAATAAAATACATTATATCAATACTCTGATTGATTACCTGAATATTTGATAGTACACTTCACTTAAAAAAACAAAAACAACCCCAAACTGACAAAAGTTGCTCACATCTACATTGCAGTCACTGCTATCGAAAGTAACAAGAATTATGTATAATACCTTTTTTATTTATTACAGCTGCAGCATATCTTCTGGTAGCGTTGGTACCAAGTCACAACTTTAGACAAGCTTATCGACCTCCTAGAAGTTATCACAGTCCATTAAAAGAAATCGTGGTAAACACAAATATATAATATTTTCTCTCTTAGAAATCAGTTAAATGATATATTTTTATTTATAAGTAATCTATTTAAATTTCCTAGCTGTAAAACAGATTGACACAGTTTTCTTTGCCAGACATTTACTTTCAAAACCCAAATAAATGTCCAAGTGCCATCATTAAGAAAACTAAAGAATGCATCCTTTTTATTGGCTTAGATATTAATGCTTAGCTTATGAAAAGACTGCATACTTGAAATGTATTACTTCTAAGTTTTTAAGAGTAAGGCACCTGTGTATACCATTAAATAAATTAAAATGTCTTAATTTATTTTTTTGTCAGATGACACCAGATGCTAGACTAGCACTTAATCAGGTAATTATTATTAAATGTACAAATAAACTGAAAGTAATAATATTGTATTTAATTTATATAACAAAATCATGGTGTAAAAACATACTATATTATAATCTTTTGCACCTTACTGTATCCAAAAAACTCCTATATATTTCTTGTATACAGCATTTAAAAATTCAATTCCCAAATCAATTGGCAACCAAAATGGCATTTGTTAATAATAAGGAGCCATGGTGGCTAAGTGAGTAAGATGCTGGCTTATAGCCTGGAGGTCGCGGGTTTGCTCCCGGTTTTGGCCGAGAAATTTCATCAGGATTTTCCAGCGTGGTTTACCCTTGTCAGTGGTGCAGGACAGAGGGTCTAACAAGAACAGCTGTCTAGTCATTCGGATAGGACAAAAAACCGAGGTCCCATGTACACATTGGCGTGCATGTAAAAGATGCCTTGGCAGTTAGAATTCGATATAAGAGTAGGCTGTAGCGCCACAGTCTAGACAAAATTTCCCTCATAGCACACTGCATGGCATATGCCCATCTTCATTAGCCCAGTCAGAGCAGAACAGTAGGACGTTAAACCCCATGTCATTTCATTTGTTTATAGTAAGCTAAGTTGTCATGAGATAAACTATGGATAGTATTCGAGAGTGTTGTATGTAATAAAACTTCTATAAGATAAAAGTTGTCATTATTCATTATCATCTGTATTTGCTTCAATTTTGTTGTTTCATTGTATTTCAGATTTATGAACATTTACTGTCATTATTATCAAGAGCTAAAGCTTATGTTGGTAAGACTTCTTTCAGTTAGCATGTGCGCTGTATCATAAGGTCTGTCATTGAGTCAACTGGTGTGGTTTCGATTCCCCGGTTGTATGTGACAAGGAGTAGGGTCGCCTGTCCAAACTCGTGGGTGTTCTCCGGTTTCCTCCCACTGCTAAAGACCCTACGCGCAAGTGAATTATTGAAATAAAATTGAACCATATGTTAGTCCCGAAATGACCTAGTTTGTGTCAAGTAGACTTTAAACCCCATTTCTCTCTCTCTCTTCTTTCAGTTTTATATCTGAGGTAGATGCTGTATGAATATACTATGATAATGTCTTGGCCAATGAATGGATTGTTTTCTTAAGATATTTTAGTATAGCCACGTGAACAATCCAGAATAACAACCAAGTACTTAAATTAGTGTTTCGCTCAAAGAAATAAAAAGCAAAGTTTTTAATTCATGGTCCAAAAAAAAACAATTTTAATTGACTCAACCTTAGTTAAACCTGTATTTGTTTCAAATTTTCTTTCAGATTCACTTGTCCATAGTACAACTAAATTAACTTGTTATTTTGCTGTTTTAACTTACTGTTTGAATTCTAAAGCTGAAAAACTTATGGTATGTATTTTCATTTATTTGTTTATTAGTACATGAATGTTCTGTAATTAGCTTCTTTCAGCTCCACGAATGGTGTCAATTGAGTAAACACAAGGTTTCTCCTCATTTTCTTGTGTAAATCTTTCGCCTTTTATTAAAGATTATTGTAAGGAGGAACAACATAATGTGTCTATAGACAATTTCTGGGGGGTTGGGTGGCTGAACAGTTATACCGTGCACGTTGGATCGTAAGGTCTGCCATTGAGTCAAGTGGCGTGGTTTCGATTCCCCGCTTGTATGTGACAAGGAGAAGGGTCGCCTGTCCAACCTCATGGATTATCTCTGAGTCCTCAGGATTCCCCCTACTGCTAAAGACCAGTGAAAAAAAAATTGAACCATATGTTAGTCCCAAAATGATCTAGTTTGTGTTGAGTGGACGTTGAATCAATTAGTTTAGTTAAAGGCATCTTCAATAGAAGGCTTGATCTCGATTTAACTACATACATCTTATCAAGGCCTTAAAGTAATACCCTTCATATTTCTGCACTAATTTCGATTGGGTATTCATCAGCTTGAGAGCCTATCAGATACCTCGATCATCGCGAATACCAAATCTCGCGCTTTCCAGCTAAAAGGTCTAACTGTGATAATCGAGGTGCAAAGTTCAAGGTTCATTCAATGTCAAGGTTTCTGTGGAGGTCGCTATGTCAGATTGGTCGTGTCTGCAGACAACATGGCTATTAAGTTCGAGAATTGTAAAGTAATCTAGCAATGTCAAGATGTTGTAAAACTCACAGTCGTTGCTTCAGGAACATGAGTTAAAGATTGATTGATAACTACTTGTATAGAATCCTTGGGGGTTATTGCTCCTTTAAAATAAACTCATTTTGAATAATATTGATATCTTTATTTCTTGTCTTTCAGTTTAGTGAATATTTTCTAGAATTATGGCAATTGTTTCATCCTAAATTATCAGAACCACAGATCTCCATGCATCATAATAAACAGGTATGTAAGTTACATTGGACTGCAGAGTTATCTTGACTTGGTCTCTTAATATGAAAGTTAAATTTGGCTGCAGACTGACTATGTCATTAGCTTTGTTTGACGTACATTGACTAAGTTGGAATATGTCATTAACAGTGTTTGACGTACCTTGACTAGGTTGGAATATGTCATTAACCATGTTTGACGTACCTTGACTAGGTTGGAATATGTCATTAACCATGTTTGACGTACCTTGACTAAGTTGGAATATATGTCATTAACCATGTTTGACGTACCTTGACTAGGTTGGAATATGTACTTAACCATTTTTGACATACCTTGACTAGGTTGGAATATGTCATTAACATGTTTGAAGTACCTTGATTAGTTTGGTAGAAGTTAGTAAAACATTTGATAGTAGAAGTTGATACGCATAATTCCAAACTCTTGCATGCAAAGAACATTTATACACAGATCTGGAAAGCTTTTAGTTACTTTCAGGTTCTACGATTTGATTCAGTTATTAAGTGATGATTGACATATTGTGATGTATTTTATATTTCAGGTCCTATTATTATTCTGGCATCAAGTTTGTGTTGATTGTCCAGAGAATATTAAATTAATCGTCTCTAATCCACATGTGTGTAAAAATATAGCTTTTAATTATATCTTGTAAGTATTAATACACTTCTTTATTATATCTTGTAAATAATAGTAGTCATTTCCTTTACTTTTTTATTTTGATTTTTTTATAAGTTAGCTGCCTGCCCTTTGTGCTTTTTCGTGCGTAATTAATTCTTGACATTAGTAAAATTCTCCCCGTCACACTGTGGTTCATTGGTGGCCCGTTGAGTATGGCCCTGGCGCACTAACCAGAACTTCCAGGGTTTAATCTCAGTTTTGGCTGATAATGTTCCTTCTGATTTCCCCTTGTCGGTACTGCAGGACAAACGGGAAAAGCATCTAGTCATCCAGATGGGACAAAAACTTGCGAACCCATATAATTTATTCCATGTTACAGTTTCCATGGCATTTGGAAATCAAAGAAGAGTGGGCCATTAACAAAATTTCCCTCATAGCATGCTGTGTGGCATATTCCCATCTTAATTAGCCCACAAGTTCACAAAGCATTCCCAGACTTAATTTCAGAATTAACTCAACTTTCAATCACTGTTTATGAGAAATATCTTTGATCCAGAAACACAAAACTTTTCACATTGATGTATTTGATACATTAAAACAACAAAAGTTTTATAAAGGGCTATAATTTAGTTAAAATAAGGCAAACAATCTTGAGTAAATACTTAACTTAAGTAGGAGAATGCTTTGTAAACTTGGTACCAGGTGGTGCAGAAAAGTAGAACATTAAACCTCTTTTCCTTTCATTGTTACATTGCTCAAGTAACCATTAAAATAATACATTATGGTAGAATCTGAATTTTAAATTATCTATTTTGCTTTAAGGATGATAGTACATGTACAAGTTGAATCTGAATTTTAATTTATCTATTGTTATAATGATGTTTTTAAAGATGTATATATTTATTGTAGAGCTGACCACGATGATCAAGATGTTGTAATGTTTAATAAACTGATGTTACCGTCGTATTATGGTTTATTAAGGATGTGTTGTCAACAGGATAGAAACTTTACACGACAACTGGCACAACATCAAAATATACAGTGGGCTTTCAAAAATATCACTCCGTATCCAGCACAGTATACAGTGGTAAGTTGTTAAACATCTTTAATGTTATTTTTTAGGCCATTTTTTTGTCTTATCACTCCAATAATTCTCAAAAGATTTACCTGCTTTTGTTAAATTTACATTTTCTTATATTTTTTTTATTTTCTTTTTTTTTTTACCCAAACTTTTATGTAAAAAAATAAATGTAATAAATTTTATATGGTTAAAAAAAACCCACCCTACTGTTCTTTGATTTCCAGGTGTCAAGGGTTATTTTAATTGTATGCAGATGTGTACACAGGTGGACTTCAGTTTTTTTGCCCCATCCAAATGACCTTGCATACTTTTCTTGATAGAACTACAAATGAGAACTAATCTTGAAAAATCCTGTAGGATCTTCTCAGCCAACACTGATTCAAACCTAGGACATTATTGTTGAAAGTTCATTTCCTTATGACATCCCCCATTCCGGAAATATTCTACATTGTTATATGTATATTTTTTATAGGCTGTAGAGGAATTATTTAGAATGATGAAATTAATGGCTGCTAGACCAGAAGAATGTACAAGTGATGAAATCAAAGCTATAAATGCTTTTAGACATAATACATTATCTATGTATCTATCTGTACTAGATGCTAGATCTATGTGGCAGACATTAATTAGGTAAATATTACATTATCTGCCACCTTTCATAAAATGTTCAGTCCAGTTCCAATCATTTTTACACACAATTGAACACTCATTGTTTTTATCACAGGTCTAGCAATTATAATTTTAGTTATACCTGACAAAATGTCTGTCACTAATCAACTAGTGTCCGATACATTGAAATGAAATGATATGGGGTTTAACGTCCTACTGTTCTGCCCGATATATTGAACTTGGTGTCAGACACGTATTATATATAATTAAAATCCCTGATAAAAGACACATTTGTGTCAGACAATATGACAGGAACCAGAGCAATTTAGCTTGACATAGCTTGAATTTATACCTAACAATGTCTGCGACATATGCTGTTTCTAGACTTGATTCATACTAAACTTAGGCTGTCTGTCTACAGTTAGCTCTGCTCGAGAACAGACACTAAGCTAGTTGACAGACATTTAAGTCTTAAATCGACGATTTTAGTTGAAAGCACTAAGTAGACTGTATTTCGAGAAGTATTTATTCTGCTTCCATTTAGTGGAATTGAATAGGTTTATTTAGTCTTTGTGTGTATGACAGATGTCAAACGGAGTTGAACCACATTACAAAACAATATGCTAAGTTTTGTATATGGCGGCCATCAAGGACAGAGATCTATTCTCGAAGAATAAAGTAGAAGGATCTCTGTGTGCAGAATGGGCTTGATTATCACTGGAACTAAATTGATAAACACTGATATTTTCTTTTCCAAGGAGAAATAATTATATCTTTTGATGTGGCTCCATTTTGCAGACAATTTATGCAGCCAATCGAATTGAAATTTTTCCAGATATTTGGTAACACATGTAGACTCAATTCTGTCAAATAGTATAGAAATTTTTTGTTTATTTTTCAGTGCTTTTAAGATTCTAGTAGAAAGTCAAGAAGAGAAATTAGATGTTGTTTTACATGGTGGTCTACAGATGATAACTGAGGTAATTCTCTTCTCTATAAACAAAAATAACTTTCTTTTATCATTCAACAGGTGGTCTAATTATACTCAATTTGATTAAAACACAGATCCTATTTCGTTTTGTTTTTTATTGTTCAAAATTTTGTTTTACTTGTCTTCACAACACAAGGATCTGGAAAAGTTGTTATCATTGACATGTTCAGGATGATGTGAGGGATAAACCAATGAAACGGTCTGTTACAGCGAGCTTTTGGCATGAGCTGCATGGAACAGTGGGTAATCCACTAGAAACATCAATGCTAATTGGTTAATCAAACATTTGACGTCATAGGGTCAAAAGCCACTCGTATGACCTCTTACGCGACCCCCCAAAACAACTGGTCAGATCTTCATGTAGTGTAGGCCATCGAAAGTATAAAAAAACGAATCTAAATATAGATCTGTATTTTACTCAGATTAAATTATGCTCAATGTAATATATTTATATTGAGATCTGCATCGCTCCATTGAATTAAATTAGTCAAAGAGGTTGGACAAATCAATTAGATGTGCTTAACTATTGGATGATAAAACTTTGGAGACAGAGATAAGACATAAATATGAAAACATGGTTGTCCCTATTCATTAAATGATGTTTTGGGTCTTACAACGATTTTACAAGTTTGGAATAGGGTTCGAATACCCAAAATGTTATGTATTAAAACGTCTTCTTTATTCTAAGTCTGTTGTGCTAGGACTACACAATATTCACAAATACGTTTTTAAATACAGAAGTGTAATTTGTAGACCTGGTTTGCATCAGAGAGAGAGAGAAATGGGGTTAAAGTCCACTCAACACAAACTAGGTCATTTTGGGACTAACATATGGTTTAATTTTATTTCAATCATTCGCTTGCGTGTAGGGGTCTTTAGCAGTGGGAGGAAACCGAAGGACCCGGAGAAACCCACG